TGTTCGGAGCACAAAGCCTCCATTTAGATGTCCAAAGGTGGGCTGCCTGCTGGCCCGGGCACAGCCCAGCTGGCAAAAGTTTTGTTCATCTTAGCATGACCACATCCCTTGCGGGCTTGACAGTTTCTTTGATTTATTTGTAAAATGTTAAAAATATTAAAGCTGGATCTAAGTTATTTACATGCCAAAACCAGAGAAAACAGACTTTAGAAATTTTCAGGGTAATCAAAAACTGTGATCTTAATTTTTAAAACTTGCTTCGGAAGTTAAGGTGTCATCTAATAAAATTTTCATTCTAATAAGATTTAACAAAAATGGATTGTTGAAAACAAATCCAATGGAAACAAGTAATATAATTTATATCAATTATTTAAATTGGAAATTTTGATATGAATGCAAACTGAAAATCAGGAACTGCACCTAAGCTAACTAGTAACTATAAAAAATATATTGACCAATATTGTTGAAAGTTGCGTTAACAGATTATGCAAATAGATTCAGTTCTCACACAAAAAAAGTGAAGGAACTCACATGCAGGGAAAGAGATGAGGGAAATTGAAAGGAAAGGAACTCACATGCAGGGGAAGAGACGAGGGAAATTGAAAGGAATGAACATTAATGCAAGTCTTTTAGAGTCTGTTTTGCTTTCTTCTTCAACATTCTTTCACTTCTATACAATTATCAAATGCAGATTTATCTATCTCATGTATATACAAAAAAATCACTTCCCTCGTTTGATATTTATTTTCTTTTTAAACAATAAGCCTAAAATGTAAATTTTCCTGTTTTATTTTTTTGAGAAATGCATCTTTTAGAATGTACTATAGAAGCTCAAACAGTAAAATTGGGGGTTGGGGTTTAGGATGGGGGGAGGGAGAAATGGAATCGAAAGATAGGGTTTAGTTCTTGAGATTACCACAGCACTCATGGGAAATATAAGTGACTGCTTTGGTGTATTGAAAACGAAAATAACAAATACAAAAATTAAAAGTGACCTATGCATACTATTCTTGAGTTGGTGCCTATGCTCGTACTCTTCTTTCTGGTTGGCATACCCATGTTGACATGATATGAGTATGGGTATGAGATATGTGGCGGACAAGGCAATTTTCAACGGGACACGGCCATGGGTAGAGCTTGTTGGATCTTGGCTGCTGCTATTATTAGAGAGCGAAGAAAGTCGGGAAGATGAAAGGTTAGTGAAGGAGGGATTGGGCCTTTAGTATGGGACCCTCCCCCCAATAAGGGCAAATTAGGCTAAGTATGGCCCTGAAAGAGTGTTGGATTGGGCCTTTTGTTTGGGCTGCTTTCTTTTTTCATTTTTTTTAAGGGCAAATTAGGCCAAGTTTGGCTCTGATCTTGAAAAATTGATTAATATGCATTTGGCATCTTTAATTTTTTTTTCAAACGTATTTAATATAGTAGATCCTGGAATTGCTTAATTACTTTCTTAGTAATCTTCTTAATTGCTTTCTTAACTATTATTTCATTGATTAATGTGGATTTATCAATTATATCAATAATAATTAAAGAAAAATCAACATTGAGGAGTAAATCAGTGGTTAGGCCTTGGATTTGCTTCCCAATAATCACCACTTCGAGTCTCCTCAAGGCCATTGAGGTGAGTACTCGACTGTTAATTTCAAGGTCTCGTGAGATTAATCGAGGTGCGCGTAAGCTGGCCTGGACACTCACGATCTTTAAAAAAAAATCAAATTCATCCACAATTTAAGGACCACTCGTAGTATTTTGACTTTTTTTCCGTCATGTAAATTTCTCATTTTAACAACTAAGTCTCAAAATATCATGTTTTTATATTTATTTTTATGATCTTGATAATCCAAATCGATGTAAATAGAATTTTATTAATATTGACATTTTAAAACGTAATTGACTTTGTATTGTTAAATTCAATGATAGCAGCCATATTTAGGGCCTGTTCGGTATTGATCATGAGAACTGATTTTTTGACTGTTAGGGAGAAAAGTGGAAACCACCTGTGAAAGTAAAAAATGATGTCTGAAATAATAAAATAACGGTCAAAAAATCAATTTTTTGGAGTGAAAAAAGCACAACCAAACAAGGGCTTAATTTGTAAATTTTACAATAAATCTTCAAAAAAACTCTTATTAGCTGACAACATGTTATGTCACTTATAATTTAAATTTGTCGCTTTTTAAAATTTTTGTCATTTTCAATTTATAGGTTTGCCCTATTTTTAAAATTAAGTTATGTTCTATGTTTAGTTCAAAGATTGAAGTTTCAAAAATGTATCCACGTACCTGTGTCCAAAATTTGGACTATTTTTAGTCATATTCCTGTATCCTACATTTTAGCACTTATAATTTAATTAGAAAATAAAAGATCAGACACTTAGATACGTACCTGTACCCAAGCTCGAAGATCATAGGTTGGTTCAATCCTAAGATCTCATTGTCCTAAGTTGTCTTCCTTTTCTTTTGTTGATTTCAAGGATATTCTTTCTCAAAGCATCTTTGGGAGTTGTTTATAGACATTTTTACATTATAAATAGATACAAATGAGTGAATGATAAGTGAGTAGTATATGTGGATACAAGGTGGTTTGACCTTTTATCAACATATTATAAACGGTAGCTAAACATGGGCCAAGTCTTCTTTCCATTTGATAGACTGATTTTTTTGCCTTGATGACAACCATAAATATTTCCATAGTATACACTAATGCTTAGCTTTAATAATTCCTGTCATCCTGATTCCCCCCTGAACTTGCTCTTGTAGTTCACCCAATATAAGGGGATAAATAGGTTGATTTTAATTGTATATATGGCGATCCACTTCTTAACTTTGATTAATATGTGCATTTGGAACCAATCTGAACAAAATCAGTTGGATAAATTATTCATCTTTTGATGTTTAAGTTGTACCCTTTATCCAGCATATTGAGTGTGTCTTCTTAAACATATAAAAACGAAATTTTTTTCTGAAACTTAAAGTAAAAAACTTTCTAGAGTTACAATGTTAATGGGTCTTTGCTGTGTACGTGTGTGACTAATAACGTTAATTATGCAACATGCGGAGAGTACATTGAGAATAGACCAGCTGCTAAATTTTGTGACTCTAATGCAATTAACATATACAGGAAGACAGTGAGAAGACAGGCAATGTTACATCAGCCGGAATGTATTTCTTGCATTTCCAAGTATACAGAATGGATTCAACTATAAATGCGGTATGCCTAATTTCCAAATTACTTTTTCCTTTCAGTGAAAAGGCTTGCAGGTTCACTTTTACTGATAAATTCACTTGTGTGTTGGTTCAGTTGGCCATGGCAAAGGACTCAGAAGCTTCTTTCTTCAAGAGATTGGACGGCCTTCAACCTTGTGAGGTCTCAGAACTAAAGGCTGGCACCCACATATTTGCTGTTTATGGTCTGAACTTTCTTTTTATGTATCTTATTATTTTGATGAATATCAGATGATCAAGAAAAGACAAGAATCTCTAAATACTTGCATTTGGCCTGATTTGTGCAGGAGATAATTTCTTTAAAACTGCTACCTATACAATTGAGGCTCTCTCTGCAAAGTCGTATGAGGAGACAACTGAAAAGCTTAAGGATATTGAGGCTGAGATTTTGAGGAAGAGAAATGAACTACGCCAATTCGAAACAGAATATAGAAAGGTTTCCTACTTTTTCACTTATGTTTCCTAATGATGTTTGCAGTTAATGTTTGTGGATTTAATTTTACAGTCTTCCTCTTCTATTTTGAAGGCATTGGCACGCTTCCAAGAAGTCACCAACAGATACAGCCAGGAAAAGCAATCTGTAAGTTTGCTTCCTGGGAATTCTTTATGGTTAAACGTTTTTATTGTCAGTATGTATTAGTTTTGAATCTAATTTCTATCCCTCTGAAACCTCAAATCCATACATAGATATTTATCTTGAGAAATATAATAATGATGTTTAAGAATAGAAGAAACAACTGATCGTCTTTTTTCTTTTTTCTTTTTTCTTTTCTCTTTTCCCCCTTTTTTTAAAGTCATTTTGAGAAATGGAATTTTGATCTTCACATTGTCTTTGCTGGTTAGCCTCTTGGTAACATTAATTTATCTTATATTAAGAAAACCCAAAAGTCACACATTGGGCATCTGTGTTTTAGAGTTTACAAACTGTGATTTCGTTGTTTGTAATGTAATAGCCAATAGGAATCTCATTTTAGAGTAATATTCATAATTTAAGTGGCTGAACCATTAACTAGACATATTTACAAGGCATTGCCTAGTTTGTAACTGTATTCTTCTCTCTTAATAAATCCTGTCATTCCTGATCCTGCTTTTTTGGTTGGTAAATATTTGCCTGTGGTATTTACTCATGTTCATAAACAGGTTGACGAACTTCTAAAACAGCGAGATAGCGTCCACTCATCTTTTACCGTTGTAAGGTCGGTGGGCAATACCAGTGAGAGTGGACACTTTAGCAATGGAAGTGGCAGCAAAATTCCTGGTGAAGAGTGCATGTCTGACAGCCCGGGAGAAGAGAGCAGTTCCGATTCAAAGGACATATCTGCAAAGAAGAAATGGTTCAATTTCAACCTCAAAGGACCTGATAAAAAGTGAGTGGTACATAATTTGTGTTTGCTCCAGAGGTTTGGAATTTTATCCTTTCATGCAAGCATTTGGCTAGTTCGCTGTCTAAACCATTCCTTGTATTATGCGTTCAAAATATGTTTTTACCATTTACCATTTTCTGTTTTCTGAGTTTTTCATATAGGATTTGTGATATTTAATCACTAAAAAGATTAGTATTCTTGGAGTTGTGGCTATTCAGTCCCCAGGATACATTTTGAAATGTCATGTAGAACAAGCCTAGCATTCGGTTGAAAATCCTTTTACTTTGTTGTATATAAATTCTAGTTGTTGAGTAGATCTGTTGGTTGAGCCTTCATTACTAGGAATGATGGTGCAGGAAGAAATTTTTGTTTGAATTGATCGAAAGTGTCATTTATTGAATATTCAAAACATCCAAAAAGACATCTTATAAAAGTTAAACTAATATGGGTTCGGAAGAATAATCTAATCACGCTAAAGACTTAATTTGCCCTCATTAAAATAACTAAATGTACATAAAATAAAAATAAACAGAAGTAAAAATTAATTAAAATGGGCTCACGTCTCCTACAGCATCGTTCAATGGACTTGATAAATAGTAATTAGAGCTTTTTTTTTTTTTTGTGGCGTAAAATATATTTCAATTTGATTTAGATATTCGAAGCGATTGAAAACCTCCCCAATGAAGAGATGTAAAGGAAATGTAAATTGTATTTAAAATGTAAATCTTTCCATTGAACAAAAATTT